TGCTGCTGCTATTTCTGCTGCTGCTGCTCCTGGTTCAGCTGCTACGGCTGGTGAGCTGCTACTGCTGCTGCTGCTCTGATTGCGTTGCAGAATTCTGCAGTGTCTGATGCAGTTGAGGGACATCCAATGGAGAAGGTGAGCTAAAAGACGCTGTTGCTTCTGCTGCTGCTGCTGCTGCTGCTACTGCTGCTCGCGGGACTTCAGCTGCAGTCTTTGTTGCTGCTGCTGCTGCTCCATGCAGATATACGGCGCGGACGAATTGGAACAAAGACTCTGCGGCCTTCGCTTCCTTGTGGGGCCCGCTTCCTTCTTTCAGGTGCGGTGCAACATAATGTTGCTGCTGCTGCTGCTGCAGGAGGAGCAGCAGCTGCTGCTGCTGCTGGTGCTGCCGCAACCACGGGGGTACAACGTTGCTGCTGCCAGGGCGTTGCTGTCGCGCCAGCTCGAGTTGCTGCTGGTCCCTGCGCTGCTTCTGCTGCAGCACGAGGTGCAGCTGCGCTCAGAGTTGCTGCTGGTTTGCTGCTGCTGCTGTTTACATGCAGACTAACACTCCTGCGTGCGAGGTCATGTACAAAGCTGTGCTGCAGCTGCTGCTGCCGCTGCCGCCTTCGGGGCCTCTGCTGGACGTCTGCAGCGGAGCGGGCACTATAGCCCTCTGTGCAGCAGCAGCTATTAAGAACGCTGCTGCTGCAGCCGGCAGCAGCAACGGCAGCAGCAGTAGCAGCAGCAGCAGAAGGGTAATTGGAATTGAGGCGGTTGCTTCTGCTGTTGAGGACGCGAGGCGCAACGCCAAGCTCAACGGGCTAGACACTGACGTCGAATTCATCGCAGGTATGCTGCTGCTGCTGCTGCTGCTGCTCCTGCTTTTGCTGCTTCTGCTGTTGAGCCTTAATTATCTGTAGAGGGCTCAAGTCTGCTTCTGCTGCTGGTGCCACCCTTGTTGTTGAGCCCTAATGACTAGTGAATACCGAGAGCCTACTTCTGCTGCTGCTGCCTATGCGTCTGCTGCTGTTGCTGCTGCTGCTGCTGCTGCTGCAGGGAAGGCTGAGGATGTGCTGCCGGGCCTCTTAGAAGAGTTCAGCGCCGAGTCATACATTTCGGCGGCCGTGGACCCCCCCCGCATGGGGCTTCGTAAGTTGCTGCTGCTGTTGCTGCTGCTGCTGCTGCTGCTGATTTTTGCTGCAGTGTGTTGGCGTCGCTGCTCGTGACGGCGCTGCTGCTTCTGCTGCTTCTTGCTGCTGCTGCTGCGCTGCAGACGCGAAAGTGCTGAAGGCTCTGAAGCACTGCAGGCAGCTGGGTGAGTCTCGCCGCACAAGCAGAAGTATCACTGCAGCAGCAGCAGCAACAGCAGCAGCAGCAGCAGCAGCAGCGGTAGCAGCACTTGAGATTTGCTGCTGCTGCGTGGGTGCTGCTGTCTCAGGCAAACTGGTGTATGTTTCGTGCAACTGCAAAACCCTGGTGGAGAATCTGTTGGAGTGAGTCTGAGGGGAGTTGGGGGAAATAATTTTATTTTTTGAATAATTTTTGAATATTTTAATTAAATTTAATGAATTAACGTTTATTTAATTAATTTTAATCCTTTTTCTCCACAGACTCTGCGCCGATGACTGCAACGACCCCTTCCAGCCTGTTGCTGCAGCACCTGTGGACATGTTTCCCCACACGCTGCACTGCGAGGCGGTGGTGCTGCTGGCGAGGCGCAGCAGAGCTGCAGCAGCAGCAGCAGAGTACTCTAGCAGCAAGCGGGCTGCGCTGCTTGCCCTCACCGCCGTCGAGCCCGCACGCGCAGCAGCAGCAGCAGCAGAGGCCGCTACGTCTTCAGAGGATGAAGAGGAAGCCGCCCGACGGAAGGCCCCTCGCACTCCGCCCAGCAGCAGCGCAAGCAGCAGCAGCACAGGCAGCAGCAGCACAGGCAGCAGCGAAGGCAGCAGCAGCAGCAACTGCGCAGGCAGCAAGGCATCCAGCAATGCGCAGCTGGCCACAGCTGCAGCCCCAGATTGGAATGGATATAATCCCCTCCTGGACTAGCTAGCCAGCCGGCTAGCTAGCTAGCTAGCGAGCTAGCTAGCTAGCTAGCTATCTGCCCAGCTAGCTAGCTGGCTAGCTAGCTATCTGCCCAGCTAGCTAGCTGGCTAGCTAGCTAGCTGGCTAGCTAGCTAGCTGGCTAGCTAGCTTTAAAGAGCCGAGCCAGCTCACTAGACCCCCTCCCAGTTTGTCTTCGTTGTGGGAGTTGCATGTACACGCAGCTTCACGTGTGGCTAGCGAGCTGCCAAAGTATTTAGCTAGCCAGTTTTCTATGTAGCTAGCTGGCTAGCTAGCTAGCTAGCTGGCTAGATAGCTGGCTGGTTAGCTGCATAGCTAGCTGGCTAGCCAGCCAGCTGGCTGGAGAGGTAGCTAGCTCGCTTCCCAGCTAGCTAGCTGGCTAGCTGTCCAGCTGCATAGCGCGCTGCCTAGCTAGCGAGGTGGCTACCTAGTTAGCCAAGTGCCCAGCTAGCTCGCTGGCTAGCTAGCTGGCTAGCTAGCTAGCTAGCCAGCTAGCTCGCTGGCTAGTTAGCTAGCTAATTGGCATTCTGAGCAGCTAGCTGCAACAGGCTGTTTGCGCTCATGTCAATCCCTTTGGCCTATGCAAGGACTGTCTGTGTGAGCTGCTGACGGAACCCCAGCAGCAGCAGCAGCAGCAGCAGCAGCTGCTGCTGCTGCTGCTGCTGCTGCAGCAAGCCCAGCAC